AATTAATCTTTCCCCTAAATTAGGTCATCCGGTGATATATTTGTTGTATGATTTATTGAAGATATATGATAAAACTATTTGTTTTTATTAAGTGATGGACATGTATGTGCAACACGAACTCACTAGGCCGTAGGCTTACCCTTTTAGAAACTTTAAATGTGCGCAATCCAGGAAACTATTTAAAAAGTGGCAGTAAGAAGGCTAGGGAGAAGGATTGATCAACAAGACGACAAAGGAGTTCCGCAAAGACGTAACACCCGAAGCTGTTCAGTTGAAGACTATATTTTATTTTATTTTATTTTGTTTCCGCTGTAGTTTAGTCTATAAGTAAGTTCTTAATTGATCTTGGGAGATGTTGGAACGATTATTTGTTATATAATCTATATATGAAAATTGGGGTGGTACAGTACATATAAAATTAAAAACACAGAGAAAACGTTTGGCGTCAGTTGGAATTGAGGACGGAGATTTTGAAATTGAAAGTTTTATGGCTTCGACGAAGGTAAGATTCAACCCAGCTCATAGTAATTTTTCCTTTTTTTTCTTGATATTATGAACATAAAAGTGTTTACGGGATCAAACATTACATGTTAAATATGCAGGACCAATCTCTTTGAAGATGATAGCTTGCAATTTCTCCGGACACGGTATCTTAAAGACTGGTTGCTTCAAGAAATCATAAGGTACTTTTAAAATTTTCAGAAAAAAATAATTTCAAATTCATGAAATGCAAAAATGCTAAAAATTAGGCCAATTTTGTTGATTGTATATACTCAAGAAATTAAAATGGATAATATTTTAGTGAAATACATTCTGTAGTTTTAAATTTATGAATCAAACATGACCATTTTTGTAAATACGACAAAAATGGACCAAATATGTTATTTTTCTGCCGATAAGAGGGGCCATTCATGTAATTATTTACAATATGGATCAAATGTGTAAAACTGTCAAATCAGGGACCAATCTAGTAAACAAGTAAAAAAAGGAACCTTTGTTGTAAATCTGTCAAAAAGAGACACAAACCATTCTTTTAAAATGTCAAAAAGGGACCAAACGTGTAAAAATGTAAAATCAATGACCCTTAACGTAAATATGTCAAACATGGAACAAATGTGTAAAAGTGTAAAAACAGGGACTATTATGGTAAATAATTAAAATGGGACCATTTTTGTAAATTTGGAAAACACACACACATACAAACTGTATAAATGACCAATATGCCTCTGCTCATTCACAAACTAACATGTATTAACTAAATGACCAATAGTATTTCATTAACAACTTTTTATGCTTCATCATTATGGCAGGTACAGTAATATTGAAATACAAAAAGTTTAAAGTTAACAAAAAATGACCATCTGCCCCTGCTCATACAGAAACAACAGTCACAAACAAAGAAACAACAGTCACAAACAAACACCCCACAGGTAACTCAAAAATAGAATGCTATTAACAGTTTTGAACAATAACCATTCCAAACCCATATTCGAATTACTTGTTGACATAAATAGAATTTTGTAATTGGTGTAATGTGTAGATCTTTTAAAAGGGAAATGAAAGTAGAATGTTGCAATTGCATAAAATTTGATTGAACTTATAGAATAAGCTTAACAGTAACTTATTTAAATGTAACATGCTATCTCTATTGATGGTTTACGCTTTTTATAGTAAGATGCTATAAAATGATATTTTTCTGGAAAGTAGGGTGATATAAAATGTTGTATTTAGGCCCAAATAAACGCTATTAAAGGGAAGGAGGTTACATGGAGTTAAATTATAAAAACGGAGATGTTACATGGTTTTAACAGATCCCATTCAGTATTTAGCCTAATTTCTATTATAGTTTCTTCTTCACTTTCACTTTCAAACCATTAAGTAGTAGCAATGAGCCACAAATTTCAAGTTTATGATTAGACCAATTGTGCACAAATAATATTATTCTTGGTTTCATGTAATAACTATATACATTCCAACTGATCAATTCTTAGCAACGTGTTTCCTTAAACCGTGTTGTATATACTGGTTTCCATTAATCATGTCTTTAAAACTTTAAATCTCAAAGTACTACTACCATGCTCGATTTGATTGATTCTTTTTTGTATTCAGTGCAGCAGTACGCTGAATGAATCGGAATATGTACATGGTGCGAACTTCTTGATACATTTATAAGATGAAGAGTTTATGTTTCCCAGAAACGATTAATCAAAACACATATTACACTTTATATATATATATATATATATATATATATATATATATATATATATATATATATATATATATATATATATATATATATATAAATGATTAACTAAAACATTAATACATTGCCTGATGGAGAATTAATCAATTGAATCAATGCAGAATCCGTATTAAACCTGCTACTGCTACCTCACAGATGTGGAAAGCGATAGCAATTTTGGAGTCTGGTACCTCGAAGAAAGAAAGGAATCAGATAGGGTATCGGTATTAATTTTTTGAGAAGATAACAATAGTTCCTAACTTATTGGCTAATATTATACCGATTTCAAATTCAAAATAAGTTAATGATATCTTTTTCCTGAATTGAATGGATAATTGTATAGTTTCCAATTTAAAAAGATTTTGAAATCGGTATCAATTCAATTTTAAATTTAGTGGCTTATCAAATGCAAACCGATTTTGTAGGAAATGGCTCATGGGATGACAAGTGGCATATGCTGATGTGGAAGGCTCATGTGTACTATTGAAACAATTGTTTTATTAGTAAGGGTAGATGTACCATTACAATTTTTTTTTTCTTTTCAAACATACACTTAGCAAAAACATCAAAAAGAATACAAATTGTGACAAATTCTCAAACATTCAAAAAACAAATTACATTTATGCACAAACATTATCGAAGTTGATGATGTTTACCATTTAAAAAAAAACAACAAAATGACAGGTATTGTTGGTATGATGTTTACCATTAAAAAAACAACAAAATGATAGGTGTTGTTGGTATGATGTATTTAAGGACCTACTTGAGACACATAAAAAATTTAGGTAATAAATAAAAAAGAGTTCACAAAATGTAATTTGATTATATTTAACTTAATTAATAAGAATTGAATACTAACAAACATCCCCCACATCATCTATGTTTTCCAACTTGGTGGAGACCATAAGCATGCTTAATAAGGATGGTGAATCACTTTGGACCAAAAGATGTTGTACAATGGATCTAACACCCTTTCCAAACTCTTTATTCAACAAAAAAAAAAAAACTTTATTAAACGAACCAATTTACTATTATTCAACCAAACTCCTTTTGGAATTTGAAATTCACTGTATACTACATCATCACCAAACATTAGGGGTGTGAAAAAAAACCGAAAAACCGAGCCGATCTAGTCAACCCAAAACCGAAAAAAACCGAAAACGAAAAAATTAGGTACCTATGGGTCGGTTTCGGTTTGGATATTTAGATATCCGCGGATACCCGAACCAAACCGTCATATATATATATATATATATATATATATATATATATATATATATATATATATATATATATATACTAGTCGTGTACCCGCGCAAAGCGGCGGCGACGAATAATATACAACGGTGATTAATTTATTTTGGTGAATAGTTTCTTTGCGGTTATCAAAACAAACCATAAAAACATTACGTATTAACCAAGTTTAAAATATTAATAATTCTTTAGTTATTAAAATTCTCAAACGCTGATAAATCCATTATTATGTCACTTCGTTGCAGACTGCAATTAATCAGACATAATGATAACTCCAAATAACCATAACATCTTAACTTTTTTTGGTGAAAATTCATTTGTGGTGATTAAATTCATTTTGAAAACATGTAATGCACCAAAGAACATGCAATGCAGGTTTCATCTCCTTGGATAACTTTGTAGTTATTTCCTCGGTTAATTTTTTTCGATGAATAGTTTTTTTTTCGAGGAATGTTTTTTCCGTCGTTTAGTTCTATATGGAAAACATGTCATATTTTAAATAATATGCAATGCGGTTGTTGATGATCAGTTTTATTTCGGAGAATAATTATCTTTTACACCTTAAAACTGTTGTTTTGGTTTATTTTAGGTATCATACTTTAGAGATTATAAAAAATTTTAAAATCCTTTTTACAGTAATTTTAGCTCATTGGAAAACATCAATAATATGTACTATTTTACTCATAATTTTGAAACTATTAAAATTAATGGATTTGTTTACGTAACTCATAATAATTCACTATTATTCACTACGTGAATTCACAATTTTGTTTGAAATCCACGAAAAACTTAAAAATATGTTTATTTTATGGGTTTGTAAAAAGTGTAAGTTGATGAACTGATGACATTATCTTTGTATCAATAACTATAATAAAATATTATTATTTTGTATATTTTGAAATGTAATTATTTATATTTTTCATTAGTTTTAAGTTCATATTATAAAATTATAACTTATCCGATACATTTTTAATCAAATTTTATTACAAAAAAACAATGATTTATATTTTAGTTTTAATTTTAAATATTCACTTGTAGATCTATAATAATTAAGCACAACTGGGATTGTTATATCGTTAATTATTTATAAAAATCAATGTATTGTTTTTATTTTCCACTTTATACTAAATACGATAATATGATTTTTTTTAATATTATAAGAATAGTTTTATAATAAAATAATAGATCTTAGTAAAGAGATGATGACAAAAGGAAGGGTGTAATCTAATTATTATAAGGATCAATAAGTCATTTAGTTGCTTTGATATTTATATGATTTTTAAAATTTAAAAATCTCACCAATGGCAGTCGTTATAAAACTGATAGCATTCCACCTAAGTAAACAAATGCTTCAAAAGATAAAATTATCATCACAATTTCTTAGCAACATACTTCGTATCGAACTCACAATAAGTAAATAAATGCTTCAAAAGATAAAACTATCATCACAATTTCATAGCAACATACTCTGTATTTAACTCACAAGAGGAAATCAAGCATTCAGCACGTAAATGTTGACATTTAACCGTATATAATATACAAATTTCACCCTTGTGTTTATTTTAGAACCATATGTACAAGCAGCCCATGATTATACATCACCTGTATCTATCTCTCTCCTAAAAATGTACATTTTCAATACCATCATTTGCCAATTTTCACCATCTACTATTTTTCTATAAAACAAATACATCATCTATTCTATTTTCCATAAGCCTTCCACCTTGTCCCGCTAAAACTGTGGAACTGAAGATTAAATATATGTTTGACAGCAAAGTTGGGTTAAGATAAGAAAATGATTTACAAAATGTATGTATAGTATTAATCCTAAGAACTACTTACTTTGAAAGATTCGTTTCTATGTTTTGAGACATCTACAGTTTTAAAAAAATCAATCACAAAAGAGCGAAGTTTATCAGTAGAAATAAAGGAATGGAGAAACTACCATTAATATAGCACCAACAAACAAACAAATCGCATTTAATGATAACTACAAAAGAAACAGGAGCCAATTTGTTAGTAATAGTAAGTTAATGGTTAATAACAATATACATTTTACTCATAATAACTGCCTTCAAATTAGATAAAGAAAAAGGTTTTTATAATCCTTATGCTTCTTTTGTTTCAAAATCTTCAATTCCTTTAACACAAACACCTATTAAGAACTGAAGACCAATTATAAAATAAAATAGATAGTAGTCTATAATTTAGATAAAATCATGAACCGGCTACCATTCCTAAAAACATATTGTAATTCAAAATAGCTGACCTTAGTTGACAAGATTATTTAGCAGCATTGTGTTTTTTAGTAGCCTCTGAACCGTGACCCTATAATTTGCCAGCGACCTAATCAACAGATCCTGTACACATACACAAAACAATCAAACTGAAAAAGGGTTTAAATTCATATATTGTAACTCATTATGTGTAGTTCAATATATACCATGGTTGTGCATTTTCCCCAAAGAGAACACCAGTTCCTTATACAGTTTTGTCACTACCTGGAAAATCACAAAACGAACAACAAAAATTCCATGGGTTCTGATTTGAAAATTCATACAGATGAAAAGATTAAAAATAAAACAACCCTTCAATTCATCTCACAGATCCACCTCCTCCTGATATGTCTTCACCCAACTTTGTCACCAAAAAAGCAAAAAGAAATAGAGAAATCAAAAGCAAAACCTAACGGTTAGGCTTTATGTTTGGTCACCAAGTTTCTTTTCTTTCCTCCGTCTGCGATTCTACATAAAACAAAAGGAAGCCTTTTGTTATCTTTTTTCTCGTTCAGAGTCTGTGGATTAGGGAAACTTGAAATATGAACCTGTTCGATTTGAATGTTAGAAACGACAATCCCCTGTTCGATTTGAATCTAAAAACTCAAAATCCCCTAGAGAAACACGAAATACATTCAATAAACATGAACCAAATAAGAAAAACATAAAAATCCTAAACTGTCTCTGTCTTCATTAAGGAAGGAAAAAAAATAGATGTATAACTTACTTGTGTAGATCGACTGGGAAGATATATAATCGCGAGATGATGTATTCTGCAGCGGTGGCGATGGCGGTTTGTGTCTTTCACATGTATCTTTCTAATTTCTAGAGTACAGAAAGAGAGCGTCAAATAAATGGTGAGCATTGGATAAGTTACATACGTTTATATATAGAAGAAGACATAGAGGGAGGCGTGGTGGAATCGGTAAAGGCGACACCGGTGGATTGTGGTGACAGTTGAAGGTTGTTGTGAGTAATGGTGGTTCTCATCCTGATTTTTTAGCGATATAGAGATGGGAAGAGTTGTGTTGGTGGTGATGGTTTCGACAAGGAGACTATAGGTGGTATAATGTTGTTGGTGCAGCGATCTTTAATGATGGTCACAATTATGATGGTTGGTGTTGCCGATGGTGCTGTCTAATGATAATAATAGATGTGGCGGATAGTGGTGTTAATAGATTGCTTTGCTTTTGGGTCTTCAACCTCCAGATTGAGGTAGCTCTGATACAGAAACTCATCGGCCATTAACCTCCGGATCTAGGTTTCGAACGATTAGGGTTTCTATTAAGGGGGAGAAAGGGAATCGTCGGGAGCATGCTGATTCAAGTGGCTAGAGATGGTACGACGCATCTGGAGGTCGGTGGTTTGTGAGAAGGAGAAGACGACCACTTAGCAGGGAAAGAAGATTTCTACGGTAGTACGACGACGGAAATGGTGGAGTAGGTGGTCGTGAGGTGGGTGACTGCGGTAAGACGTAAAGGTGGTGGCGGATGAGGCGATCGATGTTGGCAGTGGTGGAGGCAGCTTAGGGTTTGTAGAGAGAAGAAAGGGAGAGTGAAAGTCAGGTGGGAGGAAGTTGGATATACCGGAGAAAGGCGTTGAGAGGTACAGCTCAAAATCTGGAGATGGAGAGAACCGAGAAATGAGGCTTTGATTGACTAAGTAAAAATCTCATTCAAATTATAATATTATTTTATTCACGATTAGTTGTACTTTATGTTTAGAGACTCGAAGGTCTTAAAAATTATTATTATTTTATTGGATCTATTTATAAAAATAATAGGATTTCTTTTATAAATTAGTATATATATATATATATATATATATATATATATTATTGATTCCTTTGAATTGAAGTAGTTTCTCGATCATTAAACCGTACATAGATTTGATTGTATCTTAAATATAAAAAAATTATTGTGGTTTAAATATAATACATTTTCATGCGTAAATCTAAATGTATGTGTATATTAGCAAGCATTGATTTTTTTTGTTAGTTTTTTATTTTCAGAAATTTTTTTGTTGAAATGTAATTTGTAGTTTTGATTGATTTCTATTTTTTATATTTAACAGATACCCGTGAACCGAACCGTGGTTATCCGTCTTTATCCAGTTCGGTTCGGTTCGGTTTTTTTAGCAATTCGGTTCAGTTACGATTAGTACTAGCAAGGTATCCGTCTCATTATCACGGTTCACAATTTTATTACTATTCAATCAAAACCGCTACATGAACACCCCTACCAAACATCAAGTAACCAAATCTTCAAATGTATAGAAAAGAATTAACCACACTTAATAGCTAAATCAGCAAGCAATTACACTACAAATAAACCAAATCTTCCAATGCATAGAAAAAATTTAACCACACATAATAACTAAATCAGCAAGCAGTGACACCACAAATCTACCTATCTTAATAATAATAATAATAATAATAGATTTCTTTATGCTACGTGTCACTTGCAGCATCGATTTTCATTCAATGTAAAATTCCATTTTGCCCCGCCGTCATATAACACTGTCGATTACATCTCCAGCTCATGTGATATCTATAACTGATATCCTATTTTAATTTGATTTGATTCCATATTTATCGTTTGGAATGAATTAATTGCTTACCATATTCATTCTTCTAATTTGAACCTTATTTTTTCTTCGAACGATCATGTCTGAGCCCTATTTCACTGCATCATCTTTGTGAATATCAAAAAAATCAAAAGATCCTCTCTATGGTTTCATATCAAAGAAAATTGGCTGAAATTAGGTTTTGATTTTTGAAACCCCAGGAAAGGTTATGTTCTTTAATTTTGTTTTATTTGTTTAATCGATTTGGAAGCAATTTTTTGTTTGATTTTGTCACTTTTAGGTCTTATTTCAATTGTTGTAAGATGACGATCTTGATGATGAAATCGGAGGAAGAAGCTGATCTTGATATATGGAGGTGTCGGTTAGAAGCAGATCTTGGAAAACGATTCAACCGGGTCTGCAACTAGAATCACAGTATGCGTAATCAATTGTGTGATTTAAAGAGGAATCAGATGTGGTTGATTTAAAGAGGAATCATATGTGGTTATTGCGAAGGCCTTCTTTCAGGTTAAAATTTCATTGGTTACTCTTTATATTGTTGGAATCCTAAGTCGAGTAGGACTTGGAGACCAAGCAATAGCAACCTAGTTTTAAGGAAACTATGTTTAAGTCGGTTTCTAGTTTCCTAATTGTGAGCTAATTACAAGTCGGTAGATTAGAATATATATATATATATATATATATATATATATATATATATATATATATATACATCTTGTTTAGCCGTGTAGGGTAAGAGATTGTATTCACAAATTGAGTTTTGAGTTATTTTTGCATTTAATCAAAGAGATAGTTTGATTAATTGTTTGTGTTATACATTCTTGACTTGAATTGGTATCAGAGCCAAGGAACCGAAGGCTGTGAGATCGAGTTTGTTACCTGTTGATAAGTTGGGTCAACATGTCAGATGGAGAAGATGGCGCACAGCCCCCTCCGGTGAGAGTGAAGGAGATTGGGTCAACCACTGTAGCATGTCCTATGCTGAACTCAACAAATTACACGGTCTGGTCACTAAGGATGAAAGTAGTATTAAGAATTCATAAGGCCTGGACCATTATTGATCCAGGAACAGAAAAAAATAAAGAAAAGAAGTACCTAGCGATTGGGCTGATTTATCAAGCTATACCAGAGAGCTTGATCATTCAAATCGGCGATGTAGATTCTGCAAAAACGCTCTGGGACGCAATCAAGGCTCGATACATTGGGGCTAATCGAGTGAAGGAGGCCCGCCTTCAAACTCTAAGCGCTGACTTCGACAGAATGAAGATGATGGAATCAGAATCGATCGATACCTTTGCCGGAAAGCTGTCCGGAATTGCGTCTCAATCAGCAGCACTTGGCGAAACGATTGAAGAATCGAAGATGGTTAAGAAATTTCTTAAATCCTTACCGAAGAAGTTCATCCATATTGTAACCTCTCTCAAACAAGTTCTTGATCTGAAGACTGTCGGATACGAGGATGTTGTTGGTTGCCTGAAAGCTTACGAGGAGAGGGTGAAGGAAGCGGATGACGGTGGAGAAGGATCGAAAGCCCTGTTCGCCGATGGTGGAGCTTCGAATCGGAACTGGAGAAGAAAGGGGAAAGGAACGAATGGAGCGACTGGGAATAATGCACACGGGTTTAATGGCTCAACTGGATCCGGATCCTGTGGGTCTAATGGGTCAAGTGGATCAAGCTCTAAAACAAAACAGGCCCAAGGAGGCAGGCCTAACAACAACACTGGGTCCAATAATCACCAGTCCAACAGCAGGCCCAATTCTAATTATGATCCTAATCAGAAAAATAAATATAAATAGACCAGTCCAAAATTATTTGTTACCGGTGCGATAAGCCGGGCCACTTCGCGTCTCAATGTCCGGACCGAACTAAAAAATTACAAGAACGTAATTTTGCCGAATATGACGATACCGGCGAGACCGTATTTTTACACGAGACCGTATTTTTAAACGAAGAAAAGGTGATACCGTCTCGATACAACTCACAAGACAACGACGTGTGGTATTTGGATAACAGGGCGAGCAATCACATGACGGGAAACCGGTCATTTTTCTCCGAACTTGATGAAGGCATAACCGGGAGGGTTAAATTCGGAGATCTCGTGTGTAAAAATCAAGGGAAAAGGTGTTATACTTTTCCAAGGCAAGAGGGGTCAACAAAGGCTTATGACAGAGATTTACTACATACCGGATCTCAAGAACAATATTATTAGTCTCGGACAAGCAACCGAAGCCGGGTGTGATATTCGAATGAAAGGCAACTACTTAACCACGCACGATGTCGATAATTGATTATTAATGAAAGTACAAAGAACTCGAAACCACTTTATAAAATAAAATTACAAATTGGAGTTCCTATTTGCCTTCATTCGAGACTAAGTGAAGATGCGTGGCGATGGCATGCAAGACTTGGGCACATCAATTTCGAGTCAATGAAAAAAATGTCCAATAAGGGTTTAGTCAAAGGGTTACCTCAATTTGATCATGAGAATCAATTGTGTGGATCGTGCTTGGTGGGCAAGCAAACAAGAAAGTCATTCCCGACTATGACGACATACAAAGCAAAACAACCATTGGAACTAGTTCATGGTGATTTATGCGGTCCGATCACGCCGGCAACCAAGGGTCAAAATAGGTATATTTTTACACTAATTGATGATTATTCACGATTTATGTGGATTTATCTTATGAAAGAAAAGAGTGAGGAGTTTACACACTTCAAAAAATTCAAAGCTTTGGTGGAGAATGAAATTGGAAAGCCTTTGAAAGTGTTTAGAAGTGATCGAGGAGGTGAGTTTACATCTCTCGTGTTTAATTCCTTTTGTGAACAAAACGGAGTCAAACGCCATCTTACCGCCCCATACTCTCCACAACAAAACGGAATTGTGGAATGAAGAAACCGAACACTTTTGGACATGACACGAAGTATCATGAAGACAATGCATGTTCCAAACTACTTATGGGGAGAAGCGGTAAATCACTCTACAAATCTAATCAATCGCGTTTACACAAGAGTCCTTGGTGATACAACTCCATACGAAAAGTTGTATAAAAGAAAACCGAATTTAGAGAATGTTCGTATATTTGGGTGTCTAGCACATGCAAAAGTTGAACTGGTTAATCTAAAGAAGGTGGATGCAAGATCAAGACCACTAGTGCATGTTGGTTCCGAACTGGGTACGAAAGCTTATCGATTATTTAACCCGGTAACACAAAAAATAATCGTGAGTCGAGACGTTATTTTTGATGAAACCAAAGGGTGGGATTGGATTAAAGAATCAGGAACCAACAATGAAGAACCGGGCTCATTCATAATATCATGGGACTATCCGAGAGACGAGGCGAACAACAACCAAGGAAACGATGTAAACAATGATCCAATTGAAACTGATCGTGAGATTGGAGAC